CGCATTTGTGACACTGTGACTTGGATGCAGGACACTTCTTCGGTGGATGTCTCAATCCACAATTCTTGCAGGTACTTCTTGCTTCTTGCTAGTGTACATAATGTACTAAGGCTCTATCCAGACAGCAACTGACTCATATGCGTGTCACTAGCCTCGTGTGTCCTGACTAACGATGTAGCTTCATCTAGCTTGAGATGCACATCTCTGCTAAGTAGGATCGTTTGTACCTCTGGGTGCCTGATCCCAGCAATCAAAACTTCAATGATCCTCTATTCAACAGACTCTTCAGTCTTGAAGTTGTACTTTGCTGCTTTTTTGCGACATCTCAGAACGAATTCATCAATAGTCTCTGATGCCCCCTGTCTATACCTCTGGAACTCCAATCTATGGACCCGAAAATTCTCCTGGGGCTCTAGCTGGGTAGAGAATGCTTCCCAAACGTTCTTGGGGTCGCTCAGTCATCTTCCACGTATTGAACATCCTAAGTCCTTCGACTCCTGACCATAATATCACGTAGGTATGCTGTTCCTCTTTAGGAGTCTTTTTTTATTTTGAACCACAAGTTGGCAACTTGTTGAAACTCTCGCAATGCTTGCGAACGGTCCGGGTTAGACCAGTCCATCCTGGGACTTGGAATAGCTCCACTAGCCATGGCAATACCTGTTATTGAAACCTTAGTAAGAGAACATTAGCAGTGCAAACAATTGCTTAATACAGGTTCAAATACAAACTTTACAGGTTAAAAACATTTGCCATATGTGAACAAACTTTTGTAATTCAGCATAAAAGTTTACATAACTTCCAAATCCATATGTGAACTAACCTTTTACACAATCCAACTCATTTTGACATTTATCTCAAGTTATGCAACAAAATACTGTTACAACAGTACTAGAACCTCAACCACATTGATACACATACCAATATTCGACAGGATCTAGGTCCTATCTAGTCTACATGACATGAAAATGACTTTACACACTGTTGTAAGTACTATACCTAGTCTAGTCTTAGTCTTACTCTAGTCTTAGCCTAGGCTTAGGCCTGGTAGTACAGTCCAGACTACACATGCATGAATAAGTTCAAAATGAGTCAACTCGAGTCCACTAGAAAAACTAGTCCAATTATAGTCCATATACTCTGTGCAGCAGTTCTGTTAATTACTCTGCAACAATCCTGGCTCGTTATGTTATGGTCTAGGCCTAGGCCTAACTTAAATCGTTTAGACCTGTGTTAGAGTTAAAATTTAGCGTTCATAACTTCATGTTCAGGCCCGAGCCTTGCTCTGTGACTGAGTCTCTGCCTGACCGTCCCAACTTGTCCAGTCCTGAATCTCGACTGCTCTCCGGTCAGATCCGCTGTTCAGCATAGCGTTCAAATATTGGTCCAGGTCAGATCTGAATCCAGCTCACCAGCACTTAGCCTCTAGGCTAGGGTCCAGCGTTCCTGGTCCACGTCGGGACTTCCAACTATATAGTCACCATGCACAGCATGCTCATCATTCGATCGAGACAACAACGTCATCAAAACACACACTGCTATACACAGTCCAGTCCAAGTTGTAGTAGGCCTAGATTCTAGAGGTCGATCTACTCACTCACAGTCACAGTTAGTTCTCAGCGGTCCGATCGCTCAAAATTTTGGATCACACACAAAACGAATAGGCTGTGCCGTTAATAGGCGGCAGACGACAAGTTACTGTCGGTACTCACCACTGCACTGCAGCACGAACGAAGCAAACTCGTTCCATATCTATCCAAGATATCCTGATCCATTGTCTTAAAACCGTCATAGCACAGGTTCGCATCTATAGTCCACGTCCTGGACGATTTGTATTGATGCGCAACCCCCTCACATAACCAACAGATGGCACAGTCATATTACCGCGCTCATTCACTTACTCCAGTGATTCACTTACCCCAGTGATTCACAGGAGGTGAACTAGTTCGCATCTGGCTGCCATCATGTCAAACAAGCATAAATAAGTTCGAGCAAACTGGTATAACGTTAAACATCAACATAGGTTTTATTGTGTGAATAACACCGACAACACAATGAGCGAGAATAAGTTGTACGCGACGCGGATACATTATGGGATACATTGTACGCGTATACATTGTGACGTCAGCTACGTCACTGCGTACTACATATAGAAAACTTATTCTATATAATTCTATAGAGGAAACTGATTTCTATAGACAACCTTAAACATTCTACAGAGAAGCGGGGACGTACGCCATGTTTAAAAATTAACTTTTCTATAGAAATTTAGATCTATAGAAAGCTTATTCTATAGACTTCTATAGAAGAAACCGATCTCTATAGACAACCGTAAAAATTCTATAGAGAAGTGGGGACGCTATTTTTTTTAATTAAATTTTCTATAGAAATTAGATCTATAGAAAACTTATTCTATAGAATTCTATAGAGGAAACCGCTTTCTATAGAGAATCCTTAAAAGTTCTATAGAGAATCTGGAATGTTATATAGTTCTATAAAACTCTATAAAGCTTTCTATAGAATTCTATAAAACTTTTTTGTAAGGGGTAGTTTAGTTCTGGACCCTTTTTATTGATTTTTTTAATTCGCCGACTATACGCGTTAAGCCGAGTGATGGCGCGATCCCCGAGAACCGTTCGCCGACTATAAGCGTTGAAGGGATAGTTGAGTTCTGTTGCAGAGAGCGCTACACAAAATAATTTTTGTGTGAGATAATGAAAAACTGAGTGACAAATTCGAAAGAACATACAATTTAAATGACAAAATCCTCTTTGTTTGATCAAATGGTTCAGAGAGTCAGAGACGGCTGAAATATCCATAAATATAACGATTTCTAATACTTGTGTACCACCACAAATATTATTAGATAATTTGAAAAAGCCGTTGAAAAAATCAATAGCGCCCATGCCTTGAGCCATAATGCATGGCCGTCCAGAGGATTTTTTATGTTCGGGACCGGGGTAAAATGCAATCAATTATTGAGAATTTATTGCATCTTCTGTTTTTTATTTTATTTATGGAAACTGCTCCCTACCCTAACCCCCGCTGCGTACAGTCATGGTTCAGTGACAAGACAATGGCCTCGTAACTGTGAGGCCCCATGATCAAAACCGTGTCGATGTGCTATATTAGTGCCCTTTTGTGGGGCATTAATACTCATTACTGTCATTTATTACTTGAGGGCGTAGGTTCCCTACTTAATAAGCATAGTAGCATGCACATGCTTTAGCAGTCCCGCAAAACACACATTGGCAAATTATTATTCAATAAAATCTCAGAATGTATACTATTATCTAGATATATTATTTTTAAATGATTTTTAAAATAATTCCATAAATTGGGGTAAAACTGAAATATTCCACTTTTATGAGCGACAGTGAACTACTACTTCTACTTATTCTTCTTCTTCTTCTTCGACTACTCCTACTCGCAGGCGCGTACGCAGGGGGGGGGGTGGGCTTAACCCCCCCCCCCTTGAATTTTTGTGTATGTGTATGTTTTGTGGTTGTCTTTTTGGAAAACCCCCCCCCCTTTTTTTTTTTTAAATTAAAAAAGAAAGAAAAAAAGTTGCCAATGGCTGACCTAAAAAGGGTGACCTTACCCCCCCCCCCCCCCCCCCCCCCAAAAAAAAAAAAAAAAAAAAAAAAGTGTCCGCTTAGTTCTGGTTGCAATACAGAAATAATAGTTATACGAGTTGGAAAATGCTGCGTTTCATAAAAGAATGATCGTAAATTAGTATTTTTCGTTAGCCTTCTTTTGAAATGCACAGGACCACATTATTTAGGGAATACTAATGCATGTTATCAATCAATTTGTATTGAGGGTGCAGGTCGAGCATTTTTAAACATGTTGCTAATTCACATATATCTCAATTTTTGTAAACTACCTGTACATGTAGTATTTTGTGTCAACCCTGTGTAGACATGGCATATTATCATTATTATTAATTTTTTGAAATTTGTATTATCATCATCATCATCATCATCTTCATAATCATCATCATCCTTCAGACATTTGAATGCTAACTTTATTGGAGGAGCTCGCGCCTTTGAATGTTTTTTTAAACAGATAAATGGCGCCATACAAATGCTGTGAATCATCATCATCATCATCATAATTTCTATTATTGCTATTACTATCATTATTATTATCATTTTTTTATCATGATTACTAATAATATTATTATTATTACTATGACTCACTGGGACAATATACAATGGAAATAATTTCACTGTCGTTTATCCGTCCCACTCTAGTCTCATTGTACCAGCAGTCTGTGATGTTGCATTATTAGCAGGGCATATCAATGATTCTGCTTCAGCAGGAGCAAAGACGGACGACGACTCGTACGATGGACCGCTCAACGTCACAAATACTCCTTTTTTCAATAAAGTAAAAAGTAGGATACCAGAGTAGTAACAATATTATTTTGAAGAAAATAAATGCAAACCACAACACTAATATTTACTTTATCGGGTACCACAAGAACTGAATTGGGATGACATACACCATACACAATTTGGGCTGGCTCCCGAAACAAGCATTTTGAAAACTGGAAGGGATAAGAAAATGACTCAGGTTGAGGAGGGAGAAATTTCAACTATAAAATGGAATTTAAATCCCCAAATCGACCAGAATATATATACTCCTGATCATCATACCTGTGTTTGATGATTCTTTAAAACAAAAGAGTAAATACATCAATAATTATCTTAACATAAATTTACAATAATTACATTTTAAAACAAGATAAAGGAGTGGATGATAATGTTTGTAAAAATACTCAAACTCCTCCATGGAACCTTAAACATACCAAAAGACGTTAAAAGATAGGAGTTGTTGCTACCTTGTTTGGCGTTCAACAATAAGGGATAGAGCAACGTCGATCTGGCGCTGCTCAGTGGCTGCCGGGCTCACGATCAATTGGGCAAAAAGAATTTCCGTTTCGGTTTAATAAAATTTGGAGTGGACTATTAGGCTATTATTATTATATTATATTATTATTATATTATTATATTATAAAGGGAGACAATAAAGCAAGTCCACACTTTCAAATACCTTGGGTACACTGTATCATTAGATGGGAAAGTATTCACGAGATATTTTGAAGAATTGCATTTGCAAAGGTTACAAATAAAAACCGTAATAAAAACAAATGGAACATAACCATGTAAAACCGACATCCGTAGCTTAAAGTGATTATATCTGGGCCCCGTCTTACAAAGAGTTGCGATTGATCCGAATCGATCGTAAGTCTTCCAATCGATCGCAAGTTTGCAGTCTTCTACCTCTTATGTACATACTTGCGATTGATAGCAATTGCAAATAAGTTGCGATTGATTTCAACTCTTTGTAAGACGGGGCCCTGCTCAGCGTTTCTCTACGGGTAAGAGAGTTGGACAATAATCAAAGAGCTTTGGTTCTTGAGTAAGATTATGAATATATCAAGATGAAAAAAAGATAACAAATGAAGAAGTGTTCAGAAAACCAAGACTCATCAACACAATAAAAAAGAGGCAAATACAATTTGTTGGTAACATAGTCATACAGAAATGATAAATTAAGAGAAATATCTATATCTATATAATATATATGGTATACAGTCATATAAGATATAAGATATAAGAACATGAAGTTATATACATAAGAAAGAATCGGCGGAATGCTATGCTGACCTTTAGTTTCATCTTTCATCAACGTCACCATGAATTTCACCCAGAGGACGACGGGGCATCTCATATAGAAGGTTTTCTCGAAACAGGCGATCTGTGGTCGACAAATACGCATTGGCGGTGACGTAATACCTCATGTCATCGTCCATCTCGTCCTTGGTGAGGTCCTCGAGGAAGACGAGGATGAGGTTCTTGTTCCGTTTATCCTTGAGGACGCGCTGGTGAGCTGTCTTGAACTCGAGGAGTCGCCATTCATCCTGGAGGAAACTTCGACTTATCAAGACGATACTGCGTCGGCTGGCTTCCAGACTGGTCACAATGGTGGTGGCTATGCATCCACCTGGAGGAAAGTCCCGATGACGTACGCATAACTTGTAGCGAAGGTTGTCATCGTCTTCCAGGATTGGTATGATGTTCTCGAGCACGAACTGGATGTCTTCATCACTGTACGCGATGTAAGCATCATACTCCCATCTCACGTTGTCCAAGACGACATCATCGTCGTCGTCATCGTGCAAGACATGGAATCCGTATCGCGTGTAGAGGATGACGCGTATGGCTCGTCGATGTCGGAACGTCACCGCCCCAACCATCAGGAATAACAGAGTGAGTGTCGATGTGACGATGACAGCGTTGTACTCCTGGACGGTCAGGACGTCGGGGTTATAGCATCCAAAGTCCAGGTCAGCCACTTGGATGATCGGGTACAAGTCAGGGTTCGAGGAGTTGACGTAGCACTTGACGTCATAGAGTTGAGGAACGACGTCCAGATGGGATTGAAGCCATTGCTTTAACCAAAAGAGAGAGCAGTTACAAACAAAAGGGTTGTTGTGTAAGGTCAGAACCTCCAGATAAGTTGTGGAGTTGAAGACGCCGTCTTCAAGAGTTTTGAGATTGTTGCTATGGAGTTTTACAGTCGTTAGATTAAGATTTGTCGCAAATGTATTGGAACTAAGTGAATTCACCCGGTTGTTCGACAGATCGACTGTGTGCAGATGGGTTAGATTAGTTATAATGTCATCACTGAATGTGTTTAAGACATTGTACGAAACATCCAGCTGTTGCAGATTGGGAAATTCTTGTAAAGCACCAGGTAAAATTCTTTCGAGTCCAATGTCCTGAAGAACAAGAAAAGTAAGACGAGCACTAGCCTGAAAAGCACCTACTTGCAAGGTAACCTGGTCGTCAATAAGGCATCCGTCGCATTCAAACATGAATGTATTTGCAGGAAAGTTTGGCAAGGAATGCATGGTATTATTATTGCAGAAGAAGACATTAGCTTCATCAACATCACGACTGTAGCATTCGCATGATCCTCGCCTACAGGCTTCGTCATTATAATATGGACACCAGAAATCCTCTAGGGGTAGTGTCATCATAGGCTTGTTGGCCACCGGGGAGGGCGCCTTACAAGTCCAAGTCGAGTTATCAGAAAGAATGAAAAACGGATATGTATCTTTAAACTCACCTCTTCGTATATAAAACATCCAATGACATCCACAATTAAAGTTATTACCTTGTAGAAATGTTTTTATTGGTATGTGCGGTGGCTGAATATCAAAAGGCCAAACCACATTTTCCGGGAAGATGGCAAAGTTGTTGTGTCTTAGGTCAATCATTGTCAGATTATCTAGGGCAACGAATCCAAACATATCTATGGTGTGAAGGCGATTAAAGGAGAGGTCTATGGTTTGGAGGGAGGCTTGACCGCTGAATGTTCCCTTCTTAATCACACGAAGATAGTTGTAAGAGATATTGATTGATTTAATATTTGGGGTCGACTCGAAAGCTAATATTGGGAAGTCACGAAGATGGTTACCGCTCATGTCAACATGGTTCAAGCCATTCAGTCCTCCGTGAAACGCACTCGAGTGGATATATTCTAGATCATTGTTTGATACGTCGATGAAAGTTATGTTGGGCATGAGAGCAAAAACCGAACCATCAAGTTTTGTTAAGTTATTGTCATGGATAAGCAGCCTTCTCAAATGTACAAGAGGGGCACAGTTAAATTGGGTGGCGTTCGTTAAACCGGTGAAAGATACATCAAGCGTTGTCAAGAAAGGAACGTTCTTAAACAGACACCAGCTACCGTCGAACATGCTGGGGTTGCCTCTTACATTGAGCTCTGAAAGCCTCTGGAGTCCACTGAAAGCGCCCTCTTTGACAACACTAATGGTGTTGTTTCCAAGGAATAACTTTCTGAGAGATGGAAACATCGCGAATGTGCCGTTCCCAATCTCCTGAACGCTGTTGGAGTACAGATCGAGGGACGAGACATTGCTGAAGTAATTTCCAAAGGAATCTGAGTTTAGTGAATGCAGTTTATTTGAGTAGAGTTTGACGGAGGCATTTTTTTTTATTCCTCCAATCGCTGATAACCTTTCACCATTCAAATCTACAGATGTTAGGAGCAACCTCTGAAGAAGGATCAAGTCGGTAAAGATCTCGGTTGGCAAATTACCAATTTTACACCGCCTCATTGTAAGATTCTGCAAGACTCCTGCAAATTTATGGAACAGATCCTCCTTCAAATCGGCAGGTTCTTCTGTTCCATTACCACCGTGGCTGCAGCTCAGAATTAGGGATCTAGTAAGAGGAATCACTCCTATGGTGACGTTCCATTCTCCTGTCAGGAAACAGGTAATTCTGTGGTACTCGATATGATCGCCACTCCCTTGGGTTGGTCCTTCGCATAAGCAGGGCAGATCTGGTACATTACAAGATAAAGAAAATGTTGCAGGAATCATGGACAGCAATACACCGAACACGCATAGACAGAGTCGCGTCTTGGTACTGTGCACTTCTGCTGCCATGGTTACAAAGATACGTGTATCCGGAGTAGATCTGAAAAGAAAAGAAAAACATTTTGACATAGACCAATTAGATGTTCATACGAGTTGTGTTGAAGGTCAAGATTCATATAAGTGTTACTTTCTCTCACAAGAAAAAAATATGGAATAAAGGAGTGGTTAAAGTAATTTGGGTTTAAAGGGGGTATGTTCCTGTTGCATTCTCCTACATACTATAATAGAATATTATTTCAACAAGTAATTTCGTTATAGAAGTAGGCCCAAATGCTTACCTTGTGAGGGAGAGGGCCGGGGTGGGGGCTGGGGCATGGGATGAAATAAATCTTAGTCTCATGGTAAAGATGCATCCATTGGAATATGAGTTGAAAATGGCAGATTCCTTAAATTTGATGGAAATTAAAGGGATAGAACAGTTGCGTTCCTGGTGTTTCGAACACAATCAAGTTCCGCTTTTGCCCCTATACAAATGACATCGTTCGTCAGGACAGGATACAAAATATAAACAAATAAATTAGTCTGATGATACAATCAGTCAGTGGCAGATTTATGGACAGGGCAGTACAACCGGCCCAAACTTGGTTACCTTGGGTACGTTGGCCTTCAAAAAACAAAAGTTACCATCTTAATTTGTGCAATTTCTTTATTGTGTTCCTTTGATTAGTCCAGCAAAAAACTTACTGTTACACATAGTGTATGGCACACATTGCTGCCTACACCCGACCCCTCCCCATTTATAAATATCTGCATGGATACAGCACTGAAAATCATGATGAAGCAACATACATTGTTCTGCGCCCTTTGTATCAACAATCAACCACAATGTAGTCCAATATTTCCTGCTTTGTGGGTGTAGGAAATCCTTTTCCGGTGAAAACGTAAATCAATATACCTCTAACAGGCATGCCATTCAATGTTAACGAATTCGACATACTTCTGATATTGCTGCTGCCCTAGGCATTGGATTCTAAGTTACATGCCTTCCATAATTTCGGCTTACCCCTCCTCCCCCTATTAAAAGGGAATACATGTTACCTAAGTATGTATATGTACGCAGGGGGGGGGTTCGAGGTTCGAACCCCCCTCAATTTTGTTTAAATAAAAAAATATATAATACAAATATTTTAAAAACTTTTTTTTTTTTTTGGGGGGGGGGATGTTGCTTAAGGGTGACATACCGGTACGTGTATCTCATGCTCAGGCAGATGAAAAACATTATGATCCCATCCCGGATATTAGAAACGTGCGTGAAATCAAAAGCCTGTAATTCTATGCTTTTAAATTTGGCACGTAAGCCTATTTTCATCATGTCGTCAAATCATGGAGTTAAAACTATTCCATATATGGTCCGTGTAGGCTTATATGCCAGCAAATAATGTTAATGGTAATTCTCTTTGATACGCTAGGTAGATCTATACTCCACAAGAAATGAAAAAATAATTGAACCTGCTAATATAGGATTTCCCGGCCAAATTCGCGTGTTTGTCATTCGTATTCATTTACTTTGCATTTAAGTTAGCGCAGATCGGCTTTGCCATGCCAATTATCATTCAATTTTCCAGTTTTTGTATCTAATATAGGATTTTGGTCAAAGGGTTTCATAGATCTGTCATTCAATTTAGAAACTGCTCAACTAGCATTCAAATTAATATTCACTTGTCGAAGCGTAATTTGTATCATTCAAATTAACACCTGTCATTCGTATTCGTAATATTTTTTAGTCAAGTTAGGAATGTTAGGGGGAAGAATTGCATCAAACTTTTACAGTGTTTAAATAATGCAGTTAAAATGCATGATTTGCCATTGGGTCTAAGCTGTTATTCCATTTATTTATTTTCAGGACAATGCAGATGGGTGTAGTCAGACATAAAGTAAAGAAGGGGCGAAATCAAGGGATATGGCATTTCTGCACGGACATGTTCATATACCCGGGAAAGGTGGGGGTACCCTCAATCGCCCCTTTTGACTACAGACTCGGAATTTTACAAAAGTAATTCACATCGTCTCTTATACCCAGCACACCCCTCTGTTTTTCTTAAAGAGTTTCATAGTTTACTTGCCCGCAATCAGATCGATGGCTAAAGACATGGCTAAATAATGAATTATGTTCCAATTCTTGACTCTAGTCCCTACCCCAGTCACAATATTGTATCCTTCTTCCATAATGAAACTATGATGAAATTGTGATAAATTTATGACGAAACATAAGACAAACAACTTCTTTACATGAACATTTACAAATATATTGAGACCATCAGGTTCGTAGATGCAAGTCGTTTTTTTCTTCTTAACAATCAAACTTAAATGCTGATGAATATCAGACAAATCTAATAAGTATAAGTGTATAAATGCAAGAAAATGAAATATGATGAAATACACATGAAAAAAAAATCTTGAAAGAAAAAGAATGAGCTATAAAAAGTGTGTAATAAACGAGAAATGTATATTGACCATCACTTTAAGTGCACAAAGTGCTAATTTGAATGCTACAAATGAATTAGAATGCTAAAAGTACACCGTCGCGTTGTCAGAAAATCGTGTTGCGCCAAATCGAATGACCAAATAGCGAAAGAAGCACGTCGTTCATTAATTTGAATGAAACATACGTAGATTCTAACGAAAATTCCATAGATTTGAAAACTAGAAAAGGGAATATAAACCCGAGATATACCTGACTGTACTAAAACCGTCGAATTTGAACGCAAGACAAATTAATTTGAATGACAAACTCGCGAATTTGGCCGGGAAATCCTATAATAAAGACTACAGATTTTTTCATTGGAAATTAAGGGCATGTCCAAAATAACACAAGTAGTCGTTGACAGTTTCATTCATTTCAATTCAATAATATTTTATCTCCTTCTCAAAATCAAAATAAACGTGACATATCATTAGGGATCATGAAATGTATATTTGTAACTCAAAGGAGGCGAAATTCCCTAAAAGAACGGGGCTTGTGATGGGTCGCCCTTTAATACAAAACCTACATAATTCAAATACATACACGATAGGTATATAGATAAATCGTATTTGATGCATCTTTCATGAATGGCAGTTTCACAACTGAATTCGGCACATGAATTACACAGATTAAAAATCTATACATTGTACAAAAATTCAAAACATTTTGTTAAAAATAACGAAATTAATATTATCTAAATAAAATACCCATGAAAAATAAAGAAAGAGGGGAGAATTAAAGGCGAAAAAGAGTGTAAATCAAACAAACAATACTGAAAAAGGCGTAAAATAACTGCAATGACTTGATTAAGATCATATTTATCTGTAGGCCTGTCACAATTTGTCTTAAATCAAAACTTGGTTATTTCCATTTCTGTTCTTAAACTTACCTGATGTGAGTTAGAATCCGCGGTAGCTCCAGAATATTCGAAAATGACTCGTCTGGTTAACAACAAATCAAAGTAAGTTATTAGTACCAACACTAAACAGTGTTCGATGTCCGAAAATCCAGCATTTCACCAATCCTTCATTTTCAAGCGCGTGAATGCTGCAGTGATAGAAGTTTTATTATGTCTTGAGAGTCGTGCATATATAGTTCTTACAGGAAAAAAACATCCGACGGGTCGTGAATCCATCAAAATTTATAGCTGCGTGTGAACTCTGATTTTGAAACATGCACGTATATATCTATATCCTAACATAAATAAGATATAGAGTAGCAGGCGCGTACACAGGGGGGGGGGGGGGGGGGGGGGGGGGGGGGGGGGGGGGGGGGGGGGGGGGTGGGGGGTTGGGGGTTAAACCCCCCCCCCCTTTGGTATTTTTCTGTGTGTAAACCCCCCTCCCCCTTAACCCCCCTAACCCCCCCCCCCTTTGGATTTTTTTTTTTTGACTGACCTAAAAAAGCTGACCTGACCCCCCCCCCCCCCCCAACGGAGCAAAATGTCAAATTTTCAAATTTCGAGACAAAAAAAAATGTCCTCTTAACCCCCCCCCCCCCCCCCCCCCCCAAGGCGTCGAGGCAAGGGGCATATCATCACTGAGGATAGGGGGGATGGGGGGGGGGTAATATAGTTGGCCTTCCTCGAAAATGCGAATTGATTAGGATGTAGGAGTGGGTCGATCGTATCTCATCATTGCTTATAATATATATATATATATAGAATATATATCCACCCTTTGCATTTCCACCCTTATTCGCATTTATATCTTCATTTATTCCCCCCTCCCCCTCTCCTTCTCTCCTCTCTCTCTCTCTCTCTCTCTCTCTCTCTCTCATCTAATTCCCCCATTTCAGCATTATGTTTTATCATTATTATTATAATATAATTATTATTTTTATATTAGGGGCTGGGGATATGCCCCTGTGCCCCTGTAGTAATGTCACCGATAATAAGTCACTGCACATCTAATTTTGCCCTTATCCGGAGAGCACGCGTTCGAGGAGATCGAATTTTCTTTTATCGAGTTGGCATAACGTCAACAACCACTTTTTTGGATTTCGGAAGGAAGTCGAATCCACCTGACGCTCTCTTGACTTCCCAGTTCGTTGCATGATTGATATCTGCTGTTATCAGTAACAAGCAGACATTAACAAAGATAAGACAAAGACAAGGAAGGAACTCGACTCGAGGGGGATCGAGGGGGGGGGGGGGGGGCGTTCCAAATTTTCAGTTAATTTGTGGGAAAGGTGAATGATATGCATAGGCGTAGTAGTAGAGTCGGATCCATGCATTCCTTATAGGAGACAAATTCCAATCAAATAAGCACTCACACAGATTAAATATATATTATGTATATATATATATATATATATATATTCCCCCCTTTTCTTTCTTCCCTTATTACCCCTTTTGTTTCGGGACGGGGAGGGGGTGGGTGGCAGTAACCCCTGTTCCCTCCTTCATCCCCTCCAATCCACAACTGGCCTTATACAAGCGGCGGGAAATCTTACTGACCATAACGAGATCTCCTCACCATTGAGGGAAATAGCAGACAAGCCTAATTGTCATTTGCCTCGAATTAAGGTGACGAAGCCAATGTTCTAAAATAGCAAGTCACAAGAAAATACCTGATAGTTGTGTCATGAAGCTAATTTAGCAAGAGATTACATTATTTACATATGATTAACATCTAAACTAACATGATGGGAAACTTTTACGATGTCACGTACTCTTATAACTAAATTGAGCTACTCAAGAGGAAATCAAACAAGAAACTGCTATATAATTACCTAATTTGCTTTAAAAAACGCATATATTTCCGCCCGCCCTATGTCTCTGTTCCCCCCCCCCCCTCTCTCTCTCTCTCTCTCTCTCTCTCTCATATGATGAAACAAACTAATTGCTAACAACAAAAAATCTCCGATTCGCTGCTGTCATTCACGCCCTGCCTCTTTATATTTCTCTCTCTCTCTCTCTCTATTTAAGCAGATTAAGCATGCTCTCTGATAGTACCTTGTCACTATTATTGAGAGATCTTGACAAAATTATTAACACTACCGAGCCCCTCCCCCCCCCCCCCCCCCATTCTCTCCTCCTCTTTCTCGTTATATTCCATTTACCTCATCTCGCTCTAAATTCTTTTTATTTCAACTCTATTAACTTATCTTCCCCTCTCTCATTATTCAGTTCAATTCGTCATACCCCTCTCCCCCTTACCCTCGTCTCTGTTCTCTCTCTAGCTCTCTCTCTCTCTCCCTCTCTCTCTCTCTCCCCTCTCTCTCTCTCTCTCTCTCTCTCTCTCTCCTCCCTCCCTCCCTCTCTCTGTCCTTAATATGCTTTAAAATTATTTGTTTAAAGGATCATAATATCATATTCAGATATAGAAATACTAAATAAGACCAATATAAACGTTCAATTGGCATATAATATCAATTTCCAATCTTTAATTTTAGATATCCTCGTTTGCAAGCCAATTACTCATTAACTGGCAAACTTAACACCCTTTAAGAGAACGCAATTTAATCTAAATAGAAAATAGCTATAACAATAATACTCCTTATAGCAAAATCAGCTTGGTAATGATATACAAATGATGCATGTGAATGAGTTCTTTATATGATCTATCCGCACTCGAGTTGAGGCTGTATGCATCTATCGGCTAAAACAGACTCAACAACAGTGGATAGATCATTTAATGAACGAATAAAAGCATGCATCATTTGTTTTATACAACAAAACTCCTAGATCCTTTATTAGGTGGAAAAAGAATTAATTGCAATTTTATTTTGATTCATTATCAGTCACAATAAATCCCAAATTTAATAGGCTTACAAAAATAAGCGCACTTACCTCTATAAGCATTTACACGCAGTGCTGCGCATTGCATACTTAAAAATCATTGACAAGTACTGGAAACTAGTGCATGCTTATTGAAGAAAAAAAGTGTGATAGTCTCAGTAAATGCATCACACGTGACTGCCTTTGACCAATTATTTGATTAGGATCTAGGAGTGAGTTGTATAATATTCACAATGATACCAAATCAACTTACTTGGTACCTTTGAAAACACATGATTATGATAAGAATGAATCTACAAGTTAAACCCATCACATACATGATACTGTACAATTTGAGTGCGATCCGATTTTAGAACAATTTTGCAATAATCCTTGTTATGAACATTGGAACATATCAAATCTTACTATGGAGATTCTACATGGTTGTACGAATACATCAAAATTGAAATTCCAGGGGTAACGCAAGCCTTCGCGTGGGTGGAAAGCAAATCGGCTCACGATCTTAGTGACGTATAACCAGTTGTGCGATTGCTTGCAATAGGATTTGTAGTAAATTTGGCCTTTACTCCAACTCCAAGGCTTACAGTGAACTATAATTTCAATTCTGGACTTCCTTCGTTTTTTCATAGCCTGAATCTGTATAATCATACCTCTATCGATTTCCATATTGAATCATAACAATAGTAATTTATTCGAAAATGGGATAGCAGTCTGATTGTACAATATAATGTACGGTGGGCTTTAAACAAAATTTTAAAAAATGTCCTCAGATGAAGAAAGGAAAGCTACTACTTGTGAACGAACGATACATATTCAATAAATCACTCAATGATTAAAGCTTAAGTTGAGTTCTGGTCATGCGATTGCATTGTGAAAGAAACGTTGTGGAATCAATCAGAAAAGGTTGATCATCTAGCATATAAGTATTGGTGTGTACTGCAAGGTTCTGGAATCATCAAAATGATAAGAAATTATTGATATAGATATTGGTGACCAAACGTTAGGGTTAGGGTTAGGATTCCACTCTCGTTTTAGGTTGCATATGGGCCCTGTTTCATAAAACTTGATATCAATAACAAGTTACAAGCTACCGTTATAAGCCACTGAAATCATGGCATCTGATTGGCTGAGAGCAAATTTGTCATAGAAATTTAGCATTTGTTATAGATAACAAGTTTTATGAAACAGGCCCCTGGTTTAGGTTTCTCCTCTCTATCAAGTTTTTTTTTTTAAGTGGATTGAATTTTCTTTCTGAACCACACCTTCTCCTTGCTACACGGAAGGATGCAGTTGAATTTGATAACGCGATGCAGTTGCATGCACATGTATTCAAAATTAATGAATAATCCTAGTCTTACAGACATACATTGGATTGAAGCAAAAAAGGTTAGCTTAGGTTTAGGGTAAGAGCTTGGTCTAAGAAAAAGTGCATCCAGGAATTCAAGTAGCAAATGAGCTTAACCACGGAGTAATTGCCCCTGGATCATGTGTTGTACAATCAAAATAAAAAGTATGTTTTCCCCCAACGTGGTCTAGAAGCATGGACGGGTTCCAAAACTAGCTGAGGAGTTTCCATGGTGACCAACTGTCCTCCATACGACCATCTCAGCCACGCCCACCCCAACTCCGATGTTCACAAAATGGATATCATAATATATATATACATCTTCTCCAGACTCCAGCATGATGAGGCTGAAAATACAGTCCCTGAAATCAAAGCCTTTCTGTTCAGTGTCTTTCGGGAGGATGCGATCATGTTGCCGGGGGCGACGATGGCACACTCCCAAACGTTGGGCTCGCTCCTCAGTTTGACTTCGTCCAGAATTTTCCACTACCTCTCAAACTAGATGTAGAAAGCAAGAAAGATGGAATAAAAAGAGGATAAAATTCAGTACTTAAAGTTCATTAATGTTGACCACTTTTAAAACTCATGAATTTTCTGATGTTGCAGAGCAAACCATTCATAACTAAACCTACTGTTTAAAAGTTAGAGTGGAGATTGTGCACATTGCGCAAAAATTAATCCAATGACAGGGGTAATAATATCTCTAAAGCTCCCAGAGAGGGTATTTCGTATTAAGCGCTTTATAAATTCAGATGAATATTATTATCATTATGGAAGATTTAAATGCACATCCAAACAACATGTTCCAGTTCATACATCATCTAAATTGTTAAAAATGATGTTTTATCTTCTAAATACTCTTTCTTGATTTTTTAAACTTCAAACCTACATAGGAATATTTGACCAAATTCTCCCCACTCAAAAATCATTTAGTCGGAGCCAGAAGGGCATTAATTCTATTAAATACTATATGATCTAACGTCCTTCTGGCCCTCAGCAGAAGATGAATTTTCTTACCCTTTCATCTTGGACGGTTTCTTGGAGGGTTTCATGGACTGCGCCTCCATCTCTCTTGTGTCGACGCCCATGTCCGCTTCGTCGCCTTCCTGCGCCACTGACGACGCTTTGATGGCTTTCTTGATGTTAACCACCTGTGAAAACAAATGGAACAAGACATCGAGGGGTCAGTGACACAAAGACGTAACTCCATTTTGGCCATTTTGAGAAAAAGTGGTTTATTTGTTACTGAACACTTGGGCCTTAAGGAGTTAAGTCTATGTTTCACTAGCCATTGACTTCAATGGGGTGTTGTGTGGAGTTAAGTCTTTGTGTTTCCTGGAAAGCCCACATTTTTCTGAACATTTTGATATCAAATAATCATCTTGGCAAAACATGGAGTTACGTCTTTGTGTCACTGAACCCTCGACATTAAAAGGTGCAATAGCACAGAGGATGAAGCAGTGGTTGCGGTACAAGATCATTGTGGATATCCCCACACAGGTCTAATGAAAGTGCCATACAGTTCATTTCTACATTCTTACCTTCACATAAAAATAAAACAAATCACGTATTCATGAAACATGAAAATTGACATACAATCAGTCGTAAAAATCTTATCTTTATCTCCAAGGTTGCTGTAGTTTATTGTATCATACCAAAAACTGTATCTATTTGTAACATAAATGAATTCTTATTATTATTTCTTGGAAGAGATATAATTAATTTGAAGGACATATGATAAACTGTAACTTGTATGTTACAGGGACCAGGAAGGTGTTTCACAAAGATCTTAAAAGTACTATGTCCCATTTGCAGGCCACAAAAATGAAAAAGGTAAATTCCAACTGCATTTGAAAGATAATACTAATTTAGAACTTCCCTAAAAAAGGTGGGGCTTGAAAATGTCTCCAAGTTGGAAAATAACGACTATTAGTTGTCAAATCGACTTTAGGGCTATAGAGCCCAAAATTAATAGTCTTGATTTTCAGACAATTGTACCGAATGGTCATACGTTTTATGCTGCGCAAAGATTCAATCAGTTTAATCTTGGCCATCCCAAGAGGTGGGTTATTGATGTAGACAAATGGTCATGTACCCTTTACAACTCTTTTCATGTAATGCTATTACCAAAGAAGAAACTAGATGGAACTTCGAACTTCACAGTCGAAATGATGCCTCCGTCATAGAGCAATTTTACAAACCAAAACAGAAGAAATTGTTCAAATTCAAGTTCAATTGTAATCCATTAACAGGTTCTCAGAATATCGTGATTACAAGCAATTTCTCATATACATTTATGACCCTTTGATCTTTGACCACATGACCCTAACATCTACTCAGTTCATTGGCTCTGCAAGATGTCCCGAGTTAAATAGAAATCCATCTGTCAGTTCTAATGAGAATGCGTTCACAAGCTATTTTTGCATACATAATGAGCCCATGACCTTTGACCTTTGACCTCATGACCCAAGAATCTACTCAGTTCATTGGCTCTGCAAGATACATACATGATCTAAGTTTGGGAGGAATCCATCAATCTGTTCTAATGATAATGCGATCACAAGCTATTTTTGCATGCATAATGAGCCGCATGACCTTTGACCTTGACCCCAAAATTTAATCAGTTCATCGGCTCTGCAAGTAACATACATGACCTAAGTTTGACAGGAATTCATCAATCGGTTCTTGAGATAACGCGATCACGAGCTGTTTCAGCATACATAATGAGCCCTGTGACCTTTGACCTCGTGACCCCAAAATCTAATCAGTTCATTGTCTCTGCAAGATACATACATGACCTAAGTTTGGCAGGAATCCATCAATCGGTTCTTCAGATAACGCGATCACGAGCTGTTTTTGCATACATAATGAGCCCTGTGACCTTTGACCTTTGACCTCATGACCCCAAAATCTAATCAGTTCATCGGCTCTGCAAGATACATACATGACCAAAGTTTGGCAGGAATCCATGAATCTGTTCTTCAGATAACGCGATCACGAGAACGGGACGTACGGACGGACGGACAACCCGAAAACATAATGCCTCCGGCTACTTCGTAACGGAGGCATAAAAAAGCCAGTCAGTCACTCAATAGTGTCTGACAGTGAAGTCTAGCAAGTAAACGGGTTTCCTTGCATAATTCGAATATAAGGACACTGCTAACGTTTAAATTTCACAGATAGGACATACATGACATATTCATAATTCCTGCAAAGTTCTACAGAATTTGAGGTTGGCTGCAAAAGGGACATAGTACCTTTAAGTTGATCTTATCTCTAAATTATGGAAAACCGTTAGCATCTTTGAAAATGTTTTGTAAAAGTTATTTTAAAAGACATAAAATGTTGATTCAAATCTTTCATATTTTTCATTATCAAGGAGATTTCATGTTCCTGATGTGGAATTTATGAAAAGTCCAAAATACTTGAATTTTCGCTTATGAATATATTTTATTCTAAGGTTACGAATGGCTCTCCATAATGTGTAAGTCCAACTTTAGAGTTAAGTTCGACTTAGGATCTGAGGGAAACACACCCCTGGTCATGTGCCCGGACAACTAAGTCAAGTGTTTAAACCACTCGTCCCAGACATCTCTACATTACCTCTGCCAAAACTAACTAATCACATACCTCTGTTTCTATCTGTGATTTGACCTTAAAGCAGTTTTCTTTATGTTTGTTCGCTCGATGGATCTGCTCCTCAACGTTGTTCAGCATTGTTTCGCAACCATCACACCTACAGCATGAAAGACACAACAAGAGTACAATCTACAGTTTCAAACTGACCACATAGAATTTGAAATAAAGCAAGACGCTTTCACATGCATGAAACATTTCACAAATTTTGCAAGTGGTTAAGATTTGCTAGCGTCGCATTTTGCGACATAACCGAAACACAGCTGACATGACACTGAATTTTGCAAATCCCTAAAAGTTGCATGAAGTGAAATCACTTTTGTTTACAAGTCACAAAAATTGTTGACCACAGTTGACCAGACATGCGCGGAGCCCACGCCCTGTATACGCGCAGCACACTAGCAACACGCTATGCATTCGGTGTCAGCTCGCTAGCTTCTTCCAAATCCTGACAAAAGTTGGGCTCACAGTTTTTTTTCTGATTTTCAATGCGCCGGCCGTGCATCGTCTATGTGTGACCGGGCCATAACAAGAGGGGTAAAAAGCTGTTCAAAGAACATCAATCATTCAACGTATTATCTCACCATTCCTGTAGAACGCCAACGATATCAGTGATGGCATCTTGCCTGATGTCTCGCCCGATGGTGTATTCGACTTCTAAGAGTTGATTCTTCTGGTCCAGTTTGCCCTGGATGATCTCTGAGTATATGGTCTCAATGATAAGGTCCTAAGAGAGGAAATGGGTCAAAGATCCAGGTAGAATTCAGTCTAACTCAAACCTAACTTGGAATTTATGCAGTCACACTTAGTGTCCTTCCCAAGTGACTTCTCATTTGAGGCAGGATTTTCTTCCCTTGTGTTCTTCTTCTGTTTAAAGGGGTGAGTCGTCAGTTTCCATGTGCAGAAGGCCATAATTTGCTGACACCAGATTTTGTAGGGAAAAAAAATTATTAAGCGTGTACAGGTCTGCACACAGCGAACCTGTAGACCAACCCAAGAAATACCCCCTCGTCTCTCGGGGAGTCTTTGGGTGAGGGAAAAGTGAGATAATGACTTTACCATGTGGGGGAATGGGTGGAAAATGCAGTACATTACATAAGGCCTGCTGGTCATAAAACTGAAGGCTAATTCTGATGAGTGACAGCACCTCTCATTGGGTAAACATCCGAACGGTGTTGAATTCCCCCATGAGAGCTATCTACTTTGTGTCTTTAAGTTCAGATCATAAGCAGCGGAATAAACCCAAGTGCCCTACCCCCCCCCCCCATTATTGGTGAAAAATTGAGGTTGACCACAAAGAAAAAGAAATCAAGCGCCACTTCTTATCGATTATCGCATCACAAATGGGTGTATCTTAGTGAGATAAAAATCTTGCCTAAACGATTCTCATAATACTGATTTAAGAAAAGTTTTAAGGTTTTTTTTCAATCATAATGTTTTAAAAATCTCAGATTTTATCCGTGAGTTGGAATAAATCTCAGAACACTGCCCAGACTTGAATCATTGAATCAAGGTTTATTAAAAAACATGTGTCGCAGCCCAATGGCTGAATTGATCATGCGTACAAATAAAACACTCATTGCATATTTCAAACATAAAATACAGTTTCAATTGATTTGTCAATATTGTTATAGTTACTTTGATAAGATTGCTTGGGCAGCAAAAATAAGAAACAGAATATAACATGAAGTCAGGAAAACGGAGAGGAGAAACATGAAGAAAAAAATAAAAGACAAAGTTGTAGAAAATGCATGTACATCAAAAAATATAAATTGCATACACGTTTTTGTAAAGAGTCATTAAGACAATATACGAATACTCACTTCTAACTCTCTGAGGTTCTTCAAATCAAGCTCTTGGAGGAGCACAGCGTAGGGTATTCTCTTACATTTGGCAGCTAACGACACGATAGTGAGATGCCTTAACTTGCAACCCATGGGCGTTGTTAATTCCGGGAATTTGTCAACATTAGCTGAAAAAATAAAGATTTAAATGCAAACAAAATCATTTGCTAGTTACTATATAGGAAAAAATTACACTGAGGAAGCTACATATAAAAGTTACATATTATCCCAATATAAGTTTCCTCTAAGATTATTAATTAATGTATTAAAATTATTGTATTATCCTCTTAGTGTGGTATGGTATGTCACTGAAACAGCTCCCGTAGGACTTTTGTGCCAAAATATGATTTTTGTTTTTGCATTTTTGGATTCATTGGGGTCCAAGCTATCAGAAATACATGGGGTTCAAATTTTCCCGAAGACACCAAATTTCCCTATTGTGCTTTATATAAGCCATTTTGGAGCCCAATATGGACCCCCCAGGAAATGAAGGAGGGGTCCGAAGATTTGAACCCCATCATTTTTGGCCAATTGGGACCCTTTGAAGCCAAAACAGCAACAACAACAAAATAATAATATAATAATTTTGGCAAAAAAATCCTACGGGATTACATACAATACCGCACTATCTGGAGCCTACAACCAATAAGCTATGCTTTTACATGTGGCTTCTTCATATCCTCATTTCTAATTTTACCCAGTCCTTAGTTTACAACTACAAGCAAACCAAAGTGCTGTAATATAGTATTTGTGTACTGTATTGAAATCACCCATTGCATTTCTTGTAAACAAAACTGACAATGTGTAATTTGAAATATGAAATAAACTTAACTGAACATTGATTTTTGATAACCAGTGAAATTTAAATTATGTACTGAATGCAATATTCACATTGAAACCAATAGTGATTTCTCATGAAGGAAACATATTGCAAGAAAATCTTGCTAGGAATAATTTTGATACATTTTTTTAATCATGTTTTTTTCTCTCAGTATATTGCTGGTTTGGATGAGCATTATGTACATAAAGTATACATAATTTGTTGGAAATCACATTGACTGAACCTATGAGTTCCATGCGACAAGCTTTAGCATCTCTATTGGCAAATCATTCAGCTATGATAGATTTTGTGCCAAATAGTTTGACAAATATCACTTATTTATAGAATTCAACAGTCAGTGTGAGTTTGGATTGAATCTGTATTTTTTTCCCACCATTCAATTACTTTTAACTTCATTTAAATTGTTAATGTTTATCTTTAATACACATACTATTTAGAATACATTTCTCTTATTCATTTGACTATGTTTTGAAGATTCATATTTAAAAGTTTTACAACTTACCTAAATAATCACTATAAGTTCCAAAGGCAAAAAGGTTCAAGAGTTCTACATAATTTACATTAGGTCCATCAGCAAGCTGAAAATGATAAAATATAAAGGAAAACAATGAAAAGATTGTAAGCTTAATGACAAATATTTGGAAGAGAGGAAAAAAATGATTTTTATATAATTTCATTAAAACAGGCAAATAAACATCACCCTTGTTGTACCACTACCACCAGATTGACAAGCAAGCACATTTGTTATAGATTCTGTGAGGCAATTGTATTTGGTTCCTTTATAATTGCTCATCTCGATAATATAATGCCACTTCAAAAAGCGCTCATATCTGTCACGCAGTGACGCTCATGGGGCTTAGACATTATTACCCTGGTGATAGTCCAGTAACCAAAGTAACTGGTACTCAGGCATATTGAGTACCCATTTACACCTGTGTAAAGAGTGGCAAATGTAGATTAACATCTTGCCACAGTTGCCAAAGGACATTAGTGCCAAGATTAGATCCCCATACCCCATATCTGACCTACAGTTTGGTGACTTGACAACAGTGATTTTGCACATATTCTTAGAGGATTCAAGCCATGTCTTACGTACATTCCCAGAGCAGAAAAGTGGTACTTATAAAAAAATCTATGTACAAAACAGAGGAAAATGAGGGAATGACATCATTAAAACGAAATGTTTGTATACATCCTATGGGATACATCACTGTTTCATGAAATTATGCAAAACTTTAAAATACCACAACTTTGGTATTTTTCATCCGATTTGGATGAAACTTTCACCGTTTAGTTTTTTTTTTTTCTCTCTATTTATTACCGGTAAATTTGACTGGGCTGGACTTGCCGTGGAACTCTTTTCATGCCACAACAAAAATCCTGTGCCACTTTGTAGTTATCATGGGATAGATATACTAAACAAGATTATTCAACTGTTTCAAGTGCAGGATTATTCTATAAGGATTGTCATGGAGCTAATTAAGACCAGAAGTGGGTACTCTTGCAGAGTCACTGAGATGCACAAAGCAATCCTTTTATGAATTGGTGCCATTGTTTTGTGCAAAACTGCATATGTGGCAAATGAGCAACTGTGCAGAGAGGCGAAGAAAGCAACTGAATTATTAATGCTTTTGAGTCTCAAAATTAAAGCTTATCTGTACTAGTGTACGGGAGAGATTTGATCTCCCTGCAAGGTCACTGGACAAGTGGTTATCTCATCAACTCAGCTCTCAATTAACATAAGAAAAAGAGGATCACGGGGGACCAGTGGTCACCGATTATGCATTGTTTGTTAAATAGAGGGCGCAAGTAGCTATAATGCAAGGTCACTGGACAAGTGGTTATCTCATCAACTCAGCTCTCAATTAACATAAGAAAAAGAGGATCACGGGGGACCAGTGATCACCGATTATGCATTGTTTGTTATATAGAGGGCGCAAGTAGCTATAAGTGCAGTGGGGGTTTTAAAGTGATTAAAATTTCTTTCACCTCAGTAACGTTTGGCATTTCTAGAAGCTCTCCAAAGACATGGACCCCCGGCGCCTCCACACACTGCTTGATAAGAGCCACCATGGCTGCGCCCTTGGCTGTCTTCGCTAGGAGGAGATACTGCTCCAGGGAGCAGGGGCTGTTCAAGCTTGACTTGTTGTTCATGACTGAGGAAGCACGGCAGATGCCTAACCTGTTTGGAACAATTTCCTTAAGCCAGGAGAAAAGAATGATAAATTGATTAAAAGAATGACAAAATACAGGCAAAATATGATTGCAGGGCCCTATTAAAGGAAGAATAGTATTATTAATTCATTCTCATATTATTATCATTATGATTTTTTTCTTAATTACACTTATTAAGATCATCATTATTACTATCATCATCGTTATCACTATTATTATGATTATTATCATCATTATTATTATTCATTGTTATCAACATTACTACTGCTACTACTACTATTACTACATGTACTATACCGACGATGATTACTACGACTACTACAATTTAATGACTACATCAACTACAATCATCATCATAACAAATGATGGGTGAATATGAGGAATTAACTCCTTTAAACTCTGATTAGAAGAAGATCAAGTACATGTACCATGAGAAAGAAAAATTTTACATGTCTGAAGTAATGCTGCTCATGTAATGTATACAAAATAATCAAATTCTTATGTTCATATTAGCATGTTGATTAAATTTAAGCAAAACAACTGGCACAGAATTGCAACTTCACAAAACTTGAACAAAACTTTGAATCAAAATCAGTTTTTGAGGTTTTCTCCCATACAAATCATGCAGACAAGAGAATAAAGCATATTGCATCATGTGGTAAACACTCAAAGGTCCATTTGTAGTAAGCCCGAGTCATTACGGTTTTTGTGCTAAACGTTTTAACTGTTTCGTTTAAAGTAACTTGGTAATATTGTTGAAGGTTGATGAAAAAATTGCTTAATTTTTGTATAAAATGTTACTTACTATATTCCTTCTACTGTACTAACCCTCTGACATGCAGAAAAATCCTGAAAAAATTCTCAAACCACGAAGATATCTATGGTTTTCTTTGAAGGAGTCGATGTATGACAGTAACATTACACCGCGGTTTCTTTGATTATCTTTATCGTGGACTATTAGCACATTCCAAAATGTATGCAAATAATGGTTCAACGGAGCGAGAAATGCTAAACGGTTTTGATGAATGCGGACAGGTTAAACGGTTTGACTCAGGCCTAATTTGTAGCATTAGCAAAAGACCACTGTTACACTTGTAATAACAAAAACTAATACCAAAATGAGTTTTGGGCTACATAAATCAATTCATAATTTTTGGTGCTATTTCTTTGTATTGGCCTAGTTGATTACCAGAAGTACTGAGACAAATGTAGGGGGAAAAAAATACTCAACAGCGAAAAATATCAGTAGGATTTCTTCAAGTTTGCACAGGATTTCAACTTTGGATTACGACTGGAAAAATCAGAAGTTCTTCCTAATAATGATTAAAGGTAAGACTGTGATTTTTTAGAGTAAAATTACTCTTAATTCTTATTCTCTGATCCAAAAGTAGCTTGCACTTGCAAGGTTTGTTGTGTACGATGTGCGGCGCGGGAACGGATGATTACGTACACATTTGAGGTTTTGTTTCCATGGCTCTCCACACAGGAAAATGCATGCCGAGAATTGCTTGGTGATATCAACATCATGATTCCAGTAATGGCGTAAGGCGGCTAACTTTGATTCATCGAGGCATCGCGTCAGGTCTGGAGGTCGCATTGCCCAACCTTTTGTGAAATCATGCCCCTTGATTTACGTAATGTTTGTGAATGAAAATTGAAACCCCTCTATCTACAAATGGTCTGGTCAAATTCAACCAACACTTTGTGACAACCTTACGGCATATCAATGAAAGGTCGCATGATCTTTCGTTTTCGTTTCCCTGAAGGTCGGTCATGTAACGCAACCACCCAACCGGCAACCGAAAGTGATGTCCCAATGATTTGAAGTAAGCCGCTTAAGGCTGCCTTTGTCAATTATTATCATGGCACTCACTTTTTTTTCACTCTCTCACTTCATTCTTGTCTTAACTTCATCATTAGTCTTTACAGAGCTACCAAGTATCACGCATTAGGCGTGACATCACGCATTTCGAGGGTCTGAGAAAAATGCTCTTACGCACGACGTGCGCGCTCGATTTTGAAAAAACGATATACGTGTGTTATACCCTCGCACGCAAGCACGCGCGCCGAATCATGAAAATGTCACACATTGCCGATCTTTGAACTTGGCATCTCTGTCTTTATTTTAGTTTTTATAATAATCGGCCATCGCCATCGGCATCGGTTCATTTCTTTTTCAGGAAGCTTTAACTTTCAAGCCCCATCAACAAACTAAGTTTGGAAATAGGGTTACGAGTACTTTATCAAGTTTACGGCACAAAACCTGCAGTCTGTTGCAGTCGCGTTTATTCTGCATTTTGGGTAATCAAGTCGGACGTCGGGTCGAAGTTACCGACCTTGGACCTCGGCACGAAATTCCACAACACAAATTCTACGCAAATATAAGCGTATGGACTATGGGACTGTGTTATCGAAGTTTCTCCAAAATCGCCCTCCTAATAGTGTTTTCCATGAAATTCACGACTCTAAAAAGTGGCATATAACATTGAGAATGTTATCAAATTTCGAAATCATAGTAACAAAATGTTAGATTTTGTAAGGTAACGTAAAAATGAAATTATTACACTTACGAATAATGTAGTCGGGTGACAAGGAGTGCACAAAATCGGTCCAGTGCACAGCATGTACGCATGCGCACTAAGGAAACTTGTCCACTTCAATGAAAACTCGTTTTTGTTTGTTTTCTTTTTATCAGCATGACAGAAAAAAGAAAGAGAAAAAAAGAGAACAAGTGTGGTTGTAATAGCAAAAGACAAAGACTTTTCGTCTTGATTTTGTTTGCTTTAATATTCTTTCCTTGTTCCACTGGATATTGCCATTATATACAGCTAGATGTTTTTTTGCTCAAGTTCATGTAGTTTTATTCATACATGCAGGGCCGCACAAGCGATAACAAATCCATGCTTCATTACAGTACATTTATTTTTCAGCATATCTCTTCTGTCTGTCTCTCTCTCTCTCTCTCTCTCTCGATCCCTCTCTCTCTCTCTCTCTCTCTCTCTCTCTCTCTCTCACACACACACACACACACTCTCTCTCTCTCTCTCTCTCCCTCTCTCTCTCTCTCTCTCTCTCTCTCTATTTATCTATCTACACTATTATTGCTTTAAGTGGCTCAGTCTATACTTTGAAATGAAAAATATAAAATATATTCAAATTACAACAATCTCTCTTTCAATATTTCACAAATTGTATAATTTACAATAATAATGGCTCGACAGGCATTACATTTCACAGCACATTTTCACATTCAAAAATGAAAGCAAAATGCTTTGAGCTGTTCTACAAAAATGGCAATAACAAATCTATGAAGAAGACATTGAATACACAACAATAATTCAGTACTTCAAGTACTATAATATGTGGGAAGAACATGTTCTAACATTCCTCATTCCTTAATTCAATTATTTGAAACACATAAAAGTCTACTTCAATGCTTTCTGCTTTCAAAGCTAATACTACATATAAGTCATTATCTGATAGTTGTTGCAGCTATTTACATTATCAAATATGTATGAAGTTTCTTTAACATTTGCACAGCAACAATATAAATTACATCAATTTCTTTCCTTACTTAATAAAAACAATAATCTTGATTAATAAAGCGCATAATACTGACATCATTGGGTGTTGCGCACCGCTTATTCATTCTAGTACACAATGTGTGCAACATCCCCACTCATTTGGAGGTATCTCTACCATGTTGTGGTCATTGTCAGGGCTTATGGTATACCTAATTGTATTGCCTTATGCCATCAAACCAGGTCCCTATATCTAATGCTGTTCTATTCATTATAAGTACACGTTTTTCATTAATTTCTGTTGCGAAAATAGACATGTAGATGTACCTGTAAGTCTAGATTATTTCCAGAAAATTAACTTTTATCAAAAGGCCTGTTTACGAATGTATTGTATGCACTATAGTTTTTTTCTTCTTTTTCATGGAAAGGCTGTGGTCGGGGGCAATATGCCATGCTCTGTTTCTATATAGTAAACTGATGCAAATCACAATTATCGGAAAAGAAAACCAGACCATCCGAAAGACCCGGATCAGTTCTATGTTCAGGCATGGCTATGATGAAATATAAAGGTGAAACTATCGTTAAACTAGAAAATGCCCACTAATTCAAACCTGATTATCAAATTGAAATGCGATAAAAACTTTAATTCCTCCAGGGAAGATATACAATAATTCTCTGATGTGTACAGCAGATTAATTACATTTCAGATCTATGATAAATCTGGTAATATCTAAATGGAGTGCATTGCTCACTGAGCTTTAATACAGATTTCTCTGTATTATCCCCAAATATGAGGAATACATCGTTCGTTCATGTCAGACACGTTGCCCCGGGTGCGAAATAGGACTCTTTAAAAAAATGAAACGATTAAGATTACCCTCATGTTACGGGAAAAAATTATGGATCAATCGATTTGGTCGATCCAGTTCGATGGCACAAACACGGCACTACTGGACAATTTTTTATTTTTACCAGGAACGACAAGATTATGACCAAACTGTCGATTTAAGCATGAACATTTTTGCAAGCCTACAGGTACATAAAGAAGTAGAATTTAAATGTTTGCAGAGGATTACAAACTAACTACATGAACCTTTAAGATGTGGTAAACTTGTGTTGTGACATGGATGCAACTATATTTTTAACTTGCTGTAAGCCTTTCACATTAACTACCCTAAGATAAAGATATGTCCATAGAAAAGGGCTGAAGCTTTGTCATACTTCATAAATACTTGCTGGCAACTGAATTACATTTCTATGGAATAGAATCCTTTTTTGGAGAATAGCGTTGAAAAGAGCTATATTTAAGCTATTCGTCTTGCACTCATCAGAGTAAAACGCAAGAATAAAACAGAAAGCCGAAATCGAACAATATAAACGGAAACTAAAAGGAACAAGGTGCGAATATAACGAGCTCTGATTGACTGTCTAAGGAAATGGTAAACTAGGTCCTTTTAAACATATCTCTTAATCATAAATTAACATAATATATAATATATATATACATATATAACATATATATATATATATATATATATATATATATATATATAAAATATATATTATTGTCTGTGCAGACCCAAAAGGGAAGACCTCTGTGTTAAAGTATATGAAAAATTCCTTTCTAGCTCCAAACAAAAAACTATGCACAAATCTCATTGAGAAAACAAACAGATGACTAAACCATAGTGATTTCAGATTAATGAACACCATGAAAGCCAAGACTGCTGTTGTTCCGGATCAACGTTCCCTTGCCGCCTTGACCTCCGGTTTGATCCCCTAGTTGTGCCTCGACTGAATGCCTCATCTTCACTCAGCTCTGATTCGCTGGACTCATCATCAGAATCATCCGCTGGTTTTGTAAGTGCAGCATCAAAGGTCGCAGGGATGGTGTCTGCTGAACTGCAGGTCAAATACAGAGGAATAGATACATGTAAATAATAATAATAATAATAATAATGATGGCTTCTTATATAGCGCACATGTCTGTCACGTTGTCATGCTCCTGGCGCTGCCCCATTCATATATGAATCATGTTTGAATCTGATTGGTACACATCTTTGAAAAAATAAATCATAATTAAACAACATAACATACTACACAATCAAGTGTAACAAATATGAACTACTAGATACATGTACATTCTGTTGTTCTCCCATGGTCCCAGCCATTCTTACCTGCGCTGGTTACTGGGTAGACCATGCCATATCCTTAGCTCCTGCCCAGTTGTTACGAAGCACAGTGATGGATTTGATTGGTCTAGGCAAGAAATGGATTCAATCTGACTTGTCTCTGGATCACAGAGTGTGGCAAGGTACTGATTGTCAGATGCTGAGAAAACTGCAGAATGCAAAATATAATTAGAAAAGAAAATATTTTTGAACAGACAATCATTTGATTGCACCATCTCTCATTGATTTGCACCATATCTCATTTGAATGCAACATCTCTCATGTGACTGCACCATCTCTCATTTGAATGCAACATCTCTCATTTGATTTGCACCATATCTCATTTGAATGCAACATCTCTCATGTGACTGCACCATCTCTCATGTGACTGCACCATCTCTCATGCGACTGCACCATCTCTCATTTGAATGCAACATCTCTCATGTGACTGCACCATCTCTCATTTGAATGCAACATCTCTCATGTGACTGCACCATCTCTCATGTGACTGCACCATCTCTCATGCGACTGCACCATCTCTCATTTGAATGCAACACCTCTCATGGGACTGCACCATCATTCATTTAAATGCAACATCTCTCATTTGAATGCAACAACTCTCATTTGAATGCAACATCCCTCATGCGACTGCACCATCTCTCATTTGATTGCAACAACTCTCATTGGATTGCATTATCTATACTATAACGGCACCATCTGTCATTTTAGTGCACTATTTGCGTGTCACATGCTCCGACAACATTTCCATTAGGAAATGCTGCAGATGGTACAGGGTAAGGACTACGGTTGCCTTTTGGCATTCGGTTGGGTTTAGAGCGAAGGTTAAGGTTAGCAATCATGTTTGGTATAGGGTTGAAGTTAGGAACTTGGATAATGTTGAGGAGTATCTGTAGAGCAATTATCACTGGAGCATGCATGTACGTCATGAAACCCAATGCCCTTCCGGTTCTCAACACACCATTTCGTAATTTGTCCTTACCGTTGATAGCCCCAACTCCATTGTCTAGGTCGTAGGATGAGAACATAATGACATCATCGGTGAGGAGCATGGAGTAAGTACTGCCAAACTCCCCAAGATGATTCCTCAGCTTCCTAACATTTCCTGCAAGGGTTAAAGGTCAATGTCAAAGGTCAATGTTAAAGATAATGGCCAATGTCACTGAAAGTCTTTACCTAGGACAGGATTCTTTCAACCCTGCCTAATTGTAGAGTTAGTTAATGGAAAGCTAAATATCAATCTATCTGTCCTCTACAAATCTTCATGAACCTGCAACAATATGAAAATACAGAAATACTTCTCTATGAAATTCATTTCTTTTCCTTTTCCTTAACAAATCAATATTGTTTGATAACTTAAAAATGCTGATATAAAAATATAGAGCATCACTTAATGACAGCTCATACCAATTTTTGTAGCAAATTAGCCACACAGAACTTGAAATAAGGTGTTGGTAATATCAATGCCAGAAATAATGATGTCTAAGTCGAAATATTTCTATACAGGCAGGACAAAAACACTTCCTTGCAATATCTCTCACCTCTTTTCCAATCCAAAACCTTGACGTTCGTTCCTTCGTCCCCATAGTAGATGTCACTTTTGGATAAACCCAAGGACATGATTGGTCGTTGAACTAGAGTTCCTGATTGGCTGCGGATATTCTCCGACTCAAAGATGACATGCAGTGACCTGTCCCTCAATTCCCACAGCTTAATGACCCCATCGTTGGATGCGGTAACTACCTGGCGACCCCTGACCTTTGAACATAATGATACCAAGCAGAGTGAATCAGTATCAATGCAATGATTTCGGGGGATACATATCTCAAATTGCCATAAGGGGCTGAAGACAGCAGCTTCATTATTACTTCACCATCAATAGTTTGTTCCACCACTCGTCTATAAGGAGATGATTATGGGCTTCATATCCCATCTTGACATTACTTTTACATGGACCAAGACCTTTTTATTCATCTAGATCTCATCTAAATAAATCGCCTTTGGCGCTGTGGAAGAGAAGCACATGCTTCCAAGTTTTACCTTTAAAATTATTCATATATACAGGCACATATAGAAGTGTCATATCACTTTTTGAATTTAAAAGGCAAACAATGAAAAAGTGGATGTGATAAAAAAAACCTGAATATTGACTTTGTTGTAATATGTTCTGAAACTTTGCGCCACCATCGGGTTTAATCTCTTTTTTGCCTAGGTTTCCTCAACATGTGCTCCATCGACAGTTGTTATCCAGTCAATTTCAAACACCAATCAAATTCTTGACTTAATTCTAGATGCAACACTACACCTAAACCTAATCTTAATCTCATGTCTTGAAAAGGAAATAGGGCCTGCATGGTGTAAGTGTCAGATCAACTACATGAACAAATGTCAGATCGCCTAAATCAAAGTGGTGAATTTTAAAGGTAATGATTAGATTGGAAAAATAAAAGTAGGAAAAGTTACTACCTTTATACACGTCACACTGTCTTCATGTGCCAAAGATGAAAAGAGGCTATCACCAGACGCCACGTCCCATAGCTCCACCTTGCCTCCATCTGTATTATAATATTTCAGAGCAAATACATAATTCAACAAGGAAACAACATCTTTCATCCATTGCTCCTTGCTTGTGGAAAGTAATCGCTTCCTTCCTTAATCCCGATCCTAAAACCTTGACCCTAATCTGAATCAGGGTTTTCCGTGCTTTTATTCATATTATGTCTTAAAAACTTATGCATTTCAATAGCTTTGTAAATACTGACTTTATTGGAAGAGCCTGTACCATTACATACTGTAATTAACGGTGTATAAACCGCACCTTTTTGCCGCCGAAAAAAATTCAAAGTCGGGGGTGCGGTTTATACACGGTACACCAAAAAAAAGTTTCGATTTATACCCCTCCACCTGGCGCTATGCCTGACAATGTCTCCCAGCTCAGTAATCGGTGTGTTGGCTCACCACTTGGACACTAGAAAAACACTCAAATTTGTCTGTCAAATTTGTCTGTGATCTCAATATGAAGTTTATAATAATAATTCCTCCAATTTTTCTTCTATTACATGGTGTACCACAAGGTTCTATCCTAGGTCCTCTACTGTTTTTGAATTTAATTAATGATCTTACACATTCAGCTGCACCTCGCAGTTACATGAAAGGCCTTCCCGCGTGGGTATTTTAACACGGACCAGGCTTGCTGCCGACATAGTCGGCAAAAAAAAAGTCGACCAAAAAAAAAAAAAAGTTTTATTTTTTTTTTATTTTTTTTTTAAAGGGCGAAAAAGAGGGGTGCGGTTAATACACGAGGGCGGTTTATACAACGTTAATTACGGTACTAATTTTCTTTATTAACTGGATACTAAGACATCCCTGCAAAACAAACTCGCATAAAAAAGCAAGAGGAAGCATTTTGGGGGTAAGGAGAGGGAGTGGGGGAGGGGGAGGTCCCAATGCATACTCATTGATTTGTGTGTTAAAAGATACAGAAATGTCAGGCACACTATGATTATATATCGCAGTGAATATTGTCCAAGATTTTTCAATAGAATAGAGCATTGAAATTGCCTTTTAATCAATCTTTTTATCCAATCTCATGAAATTCTTTCTCATTATTAAAAAGTTGATAAATCAAGCATTATTACTACAGTAGTGCAGTACCATCCTGCTATAATAGACTTACCTGACCCAGTCACTGCGCAGGAAATTTCTCCTACAAATGCCATCGCTGTCACTGGATTGAATGTGTAAATGGATCGAAGCTCCTTGGAAGAGTCTAAGTCCCACAGCCTCACACTACAGTCTCTCGATGAGCTGAGGGCGAGACGGCATGCTTTGCTGGGTTCAAAATCATAGTGACTGGCTGGAAGAAAATAGAAAACAATCAATTCAAATGTATCATTACTTAAGGAACTCGAGGTATGCTTCATATAATCGCAGAGCTGCCAACCTTGTGCGACCCCATAAAGGAGCCATGATGGCAACAAAACAAAAAAAATTCAAGCAAAATTAAGGAATTCATTAAAACAAAACTTACAACCACGTGCGACACACTTCCAATGCAGAAATGTCCATTCCTCATGCAGTTTTTTTTTTCCATATTAGGACCTATAGTTTACTTACAAGTACTGGGTAGGTATTTTGTTGTTGTTATTTTGGTATCATCTGCATTTCATTTTTTTTGAGAATATTTTTCTCTTAACGTATGTTTTAACTTTAGTTTTCTATTGAACACATTGTTTTTAATCGTCACATCTGCATGGCGTACCAGCAGTTGCATAGCACATCCATAGTGATTCTCCCTCGCTGATATAGGGGATCAAACAGGAGATCAATTAAAAAAAAGTAATTTTTTTTTGGCAGCTCTGTAATTGCCATCAAGATGACTCTGAAAGTTCTTGTGCACATGTATGCACATGCTTGACATGAAACTTGGAACTTTTATGTAATTCATCCAATTTTCCACCAAAATATGTTGGCCATTTTAGGGTTAATCAGGGAATAATTCAAATGCGTACCTAATGCTTGGTTTTCCTCTGTCGCCAGCAAGTACACCGATGTCACGGCTCCACTGTGCCCTCCTAGACTACACATCTCTTCACCAGTTCTACTGCTCCAGGATTTCACTGTTGTGTCTCGGCTGAAATGAGAAAGATTGGGATAATTTGTTGTAAAATCCAGAAGAAAAAAAAAATTGGTATTAACTCTTAAACATGGAAGGTCGGGGTAATTTCAAAATTCTTCTCTGACTACCCACTATGGCACCACTAGAGTTGTACCAGTGTGTTTCGCTTTTATCACCAAGGTTGTAATGCACTGGTACAACTCTAGTGGTTGTACCAGTGCATTACAACCTTGGTGATAAAAGCAAGCGTGGGATGTGTCAGACAATGAACTCAATGCTGCCTGAAAGAATACAGACATAGTAATAAATGTTGCTGCATACTTTAAACCTGCATGGAAACAAGTTAAACAAGTTAAAACAAAGATGTCCTTTTGAATACAGAAAGGCCAAATTTCACAACATTTGGACCAAGGGTACACATTGTATATTTTCTAGGGAGGGGGTGTGGGGGGGGGGGGGGTTCATGGATATAAATGCCTTTGTTCTTAATCTCAAATTAGAAGACATTCATAAGTTCATAGTTGAAAAAAGCAAGTGGTGTCACAGAGTGAACTCCTTTCTCTGCTATGGCCGTCACATTATGATGACGATGATGATACAAGCGCTGGAAAGCCTGAACACTACCACATATGTTATTCCTGACTATAATTAATAATGATTACTACTAATAATAATTATAGGCAATTCTATAGCACCGTCTATCTAGAAATTCTATCCCGAGGCGCATTAATCATTACCATGGCTTTAGCCTAGCTGCTATTACAGCGCTCCAGCATTTAAAGGAAATAATTCCTCCCAGGTACCCATTTACCTCACCTGGGTCGAGTGTGGCAAATGAAGGTTAATGCCTTGTCAAAAGGACATTAGTGCCATATCAGGGATCGAACCATGACCTTTAAATACATACCTTCCAGAAAGAATGACATTGTCTTTGCAGTCTACGCTGGTGATCAGGTCGTTGTGACCCTCGACAACTTGGACTCTGAATACCATTCTGGACCATTTCTCTCTCTTCTTCTCCAACACAGATTGACTTCTCGGAGGTGATTTCTGTGGAGCTGATTTCTGCGGAGCTGATTTCTGTGGAGCTAAATAAAAACGCATGCACATTAGGAGGAAGACTCGAAAAGTATTCATTTAAAAAACAAAATGAAAGTTTTCAAAGAACAATTGTTACCGATAAATCTATGAAGTGTCAGATTTGAATTCTTAAAAACAGAAGAAAAAAACACACCTTGAGAATAAACGATAAAAGATCTGTCTAAAAGCATAAAGAACAATACAATTTTTGGAGAAAAAAAATATGAACAAAATAAAAAAGGTAAGCATAACCTGTACACGAAGATCTAAGATTGGCCTATTGTATGTGTGGCTGTCATTTACCATAATACATGTACACATACCGGTATTTGAATCTCCAGGGGGAAGTATCTGTAATATTTTTCCTGACTGGACTGCTGAAAACTGAATGCTTACTGCTTTGGGATTTTCCTGCCTCTGGTCCCTTTTTTGCAGGAGGCTTGGCATCCCCTCTTCCTCCACTTGTTACTGCCTTCCCATCATCCTTTGGTCTCTTTGTTCCCTCCACACTACTACTGCTCTCATCCTGTCTTCCATCGACTGTATCTCCGCTGGTATCCTCCAGATAATCATGATTTCTTTTCATCTTGACCTCTGAACTATCATAACTTTGATCCTCTTTTTTCTCAGGAGTCGGGTGATTCTTCGGAAGATTTGAAGGAACTGAAGGAAGGACTTCTGAGTCTGGTGTGCTGGTTGAAGTCTCAGGGGTGATGGAGATGTCTTCTTGGATGAACTTCACCTTTTCTTGGATCAGGGAGCGAACAAAACCCTTTTTGTCAACCTGAAACACAAATCAGAGATGAAATATTTCACATAAAAGTTGGTTGTTATTAATATTAGTGTTACTGCATGGCTTGGATTCAAAGATATTGTATATATCAATAATTATCAAGTTACAAAATAATGGCTGAATTGCGACAAGTAATTGAGTAGGAGTACAGCAAACAGATTAAACGCCAGCTTTTACTTGTGTTTATACAAATATTACAAGATAGTGGATCAGTTAAATTAAGAGAATCATCTATTCAATTGGTTGTGCAATCATTAAAGTTAAAGACCAGTATTGGAAACGCTCCAATTTCAAAAAATGAAATGGAAGCTCTTATTACCAATCATGTGAAAGTGTACGTTTTGACTAATACATGATGATAAAAAAATTTGTCGGGAAACCGCCTACTAATTGATAGACCCCTATATTTGGTAAATTAGTTTATCTATTGGTGTGTACGTGAGAGATAAACGCACATGTCGCGCACGTGTGCGTAGTCCCATGTACATCTTTCTTTTAGATCTAGATCTAGTACAAATACTGAAATAGATCTAGGATTGTCATTGTTGATTGTAAAAATTCGATTTAGACCTAGTCTGGTTTTTTTTAGCTACATGTAGATCTAGAACTAGGCCTATATTCATCACCTAAAATGTAGATGATGTAATAAATTCGAGACTATATTTTGCAGAGAAAAATGTTCATAGGTGTTGTACTAGTTGTACTAGTTGTAGGATAGACTAAAAGGTTTCAGATGTAGGGGGACATGCGACCCACATCGGATGCGGTAGCTCGTTATAAAAACACATCAGCTAGACTTAATCTGTTCACAAGAGCTTTACATGGGATGCACTAATAATATTAATCTACGACGATTCCCAGTTCTATTACTCACCTTTAGATTCTCCTCGTGATTTAATGGTCGGTCCAATCGTTCTAAATTTTCAATCTGACGAAGCTTTTTCCTCAGTTTGCGGATTTCAGATACAATATTAGGGATGTCTTCGTCCATATTGGGATAAAATAACTGACAAACGTCGCGGCGGTCGGGTAGATTTTGACAGTACGTACGAAGATCCAACGTGTCATGCATATATAGCAGAGGCGCCGAGGCCGAGGGGCGCGGGCGCCGAGCTGAGGTCGCGACGCGACGTACGTACAGTACAGGTACGTACCGATTACCGCAAACCCTACTTCCAGTTCCGCCTCTAGGCTCCAGCTAGTTCGACCACCATGTTCTAGAAAAGTCACCTGCAATAGCTCTTGATCCTTACTTTGTCAGGCTTCAACTGCTAAAAGCTGGGAAGGAGGGGAATTTAGTTAACACTGACTTCATGATGATATGGAACTTACGTCGTTAATTAAATCTCTATTGCATGATACTGGCTCATTGTTGGTGCCTCATCAGCTGAGGAATTGTTGAGACGTTGAGGTACGGAAACTTCATTGGAACACCTGCCTGACCGACCCCACTACTTCTTCTCCCTTCGCTGGTGGTGCCTGCATGAGCGTGAGTCGACCCACATATCCTTCACATCAGATCAGTCCAGGCCAGGCTTAGCTTATAGTTTAGTAATACTAGGAGCTTTTTATTAGGCCTACCTCACATAAATCTATACGGTATCTAGATCTACATGTATGGTAGCTGATATCCGCCAATTTTTTGTCTTTCTTAAAATAAAGGCGTTGTACATGCCCTAAAATACGGATTATAACGCCCTAGTATGCCCTAATACGGCATAATTACAGCGTTTTAACGCCCTAATAGTAATATAATGCTGTATTTTAGGGCATAATAACGCTGTAATTTAGGGTGTTATAATGCTGTAAAGAAAGAACAAAAATTAAGAGACAAATTTTAATCGTCATGATCATGTTACTGAGGGCAGTTTTAGGGTAAAATTTAAAAAGGGCTTTCAACAGACAATTGAATATTAGCTGAGCTAAGTGTAATAGTGCAGATTACGGTAGTGCTGATCTAAATCATATTAACTTGGCGTCTTTACCTGTACCCAAGATAGGTTCCTAGAAAAGTCTATATCTTTACTTAAAATTTGATTATGGGAACCATGTAAAACAAATAGGGAAATCCAACAACACTACAGGATAGCAGAATCAGAAGATTCAGAAGAGAAGCAGACTTGTCAAAGTTTAAACAAAATGGGACAAAACAATAAAAAAGTTACGAATTTTGAAAAGTTGAAGATAATCACTATTCGTATGGGAACTTCAAATTAACTGATTTTGTAATGTCACTGTGCTGTATGAAGGGGTGACCAAAGTTCGCGGACATTTTAGAACATATTACAAAATGTGATATTCGATCTATAATTTCTCATATTCTACTCAAATTTTTCAATTATTACCAAATAGACGGCAAAGTTTTTTACTACAGATTGGTTCAACTAGAAAATTTATTGTCGAAGGATTTCTGAGATATCGTGATCTAAAAATTAAATGTTCGATCGTGCGTGCGCGTTCCGTTAAAAAAAGTCATAAAAACAACGAGACCTAACTTCACGCACGGGGGTTAACAGTTGATTTATCAAAAAATGTGATCCATCAAAAATAAGGTAATATCATAATTTGCAAGGCAAGATATCATACAATCAGTTGGTACCACTTTTTACTTACAATTTTGAGGAAATCTGCTCTCAAATTGAAAATTACCGGTAAGTGGATCATTTTTCGGAACGGACGCAAAAGATTGCAAAATTTGCCGATCATTTGTTAATATTTTCACAATTTCGTACCCAATTCCAAAGAAAGTTTTATCTCTGGGTAATTTTATGTTCCTCTTTCCATTGGTGATATCAGATTTTCAAAATCTTACTGAGTTTTTGAGATAGCGAACTTAGGTCACGCGCAAACTTTGGTCACACCATACTGTACATGTAGTGCTGGACAACTTTTCAGTTTGTTCCGACACACAAGGCACAAAATGATTAAAGACGTAAAGTGTCATTTTTTTTCTCAAAATGTATGACCCGGGAGACAGGAGGGTATTTTCTATTCCAAGGACCTTCTGTATGAAAATATACTATCAAGTATTATATTTTTAGTAGTGCACCGAAGGGAGAACTCGGAGAAGGCACTTGGAGAAAAACAGAAATTAATGATATTGTAACGATCCACCCTCACAATATTATACTTGTAAACTGACTTCCATGCTAGCTGTCATATCTTTTATCTGAAACTTCTGAAAACATGCAGCTTGAATCATCCCATCCTTTCTTTTCTCAATCTTGTCTTATTTCTGTCTTTTCTCCTCTGTCTCCCTCTCTCTCTCTCTATGCTCTCTCTCTCTCTCTCTCTCTCTCGCTCACTCCGAGATCTTGCATTCAGCCAGCCTATTTCTCATCACTTCCTTCACATTCTTCATTTATAGGTAAACATTATCTCGATTAACTTTATTCCAGAAGTACCGCTGCGAGATATAGTCTGGATTGTGTGTGTTTTGTGTATAAATACCTGCTTACAAGCAAAAGTTTCAGGTTGAAGAAGTCTAGTATGAACGGCTTCACGTATAAACACAACCGGAAGCATACGCGTACGTTGCTTCCGACACACTACTCACTAGATCCAATCTATAAATCGTAGTAATATGCCTAAAAATTCATTATTTATGAAATATGTGATTAAGTTGTATATTTATTCAGATAGACAAGCAAATTATCCCTAATATCATATTATTGTCTTAACAATCTCTTGTCAAAAACTTAAGAGAATTCGAATTTTGTACTTCTTTAGTTTATTAACTAGGATCGGAATTCAGGTTGTGCGGTTTACGCGCATTATGTAAATATGACAGTGAATCCCAAATTCATGCTATGAAATATTTGTTTGTTAAATTTCTGCTCTTATTACAAAGGAGAGCTTGAAATATTTATCTTATGCCTTGTATAAAGTTTCAAATAAACACATTGTAATGTTTCCATTACTTAAGCAGTGTAACGTTTGGAATAAATAAGCATTTAATATTGAATTAATAAGGATTTTGAACTATATAAAGACCAGTTGCAATGTGTACGCGCGCATCTAGCTCTGTGCATGATCGCGGCGTTGCTTACAGCACGCGCATAGATTTCCCCCACGTACGCATACAGTGTATATATAAGATAGATTTTTCGGATTCGGGGCGATTCGGGAGAATCGCGCAACAAATTGGTCCAACGACGACTCGCAAGAGCCGCCCAACAAATTGGTCCAAACTTAAACAAAGAACTTTAAATAACATTGGCTAATTTCTAAACTCTCCTTCATAAACAAACAGGTATAGTTTCTTAAAGTTAATATAAAGTCCATTACCAATTTACAGTGTTATAACAGACAGATTTTTATAAACATGAGTATTAACTTGTGTGTATATATATATATTATATAAAGACTTATTAAATTTGTAACAGTGGCGATAAAATTATTGATGTAAAGAAAGAAATGATTAAATGAAGTTTTTGTTTTTGTGTTCAAACTAAAATCTTGTCTCAAACAAATGTGTTCTTCTTTTTGAGTGTCAATTTAGTATTCCATTTACCTGTATTTCTATAAGTCATATATTTTGACTGAAACGAATTAGGATTTTATAAGATACATCGCTTCCTATCTCTCTTTCACGAGATATGGCCACAAATACCAGGCTCGCCGTGAGGGAAGGTAGGGGCGATGCGGTCGATGACGGCCGGTACAATATTTTAAAACAAAACAAACGGGAAGAGTTATCCATGACTACACTTGACATGTACAGTACGTCACAATCAACTTACCAGTACAAAATTGCCAGTTTGAGATGCGCATAGTTAGTGACCTCATATTTCAAACATTCATAACTCTCTTATTATTTGTCTGATTTATTTCAAAATTTTGTCATGAAGTTTCTCTTACAATTTTTGCTTTCATACAAATGAAATTATTTCAAGAGTTGTAAACATTGCCCTTTATCAAACACGTATGAGAACACATTACCGGTACCTACACTGTATGGGAACTGGTTGGTCTGGGTTTTTTAGAGTTCAGTAGTCATTGGTTATAATGAACAAATCATAATATCATATGTAACGTCTTGACCTTTGACCTTTGACCTTTAGTTCATTAACCTTTATATAATTCCAGGAAGCAAGCAAGCAAGCAGCATGAAGTGGCAGCTCAACGTGAGTTTGAAGAGAAAGAAGTTAATATCTCAGGTCTGCACAAGCTTATTCTTCCTGTTTGCTGGGATTGAGTATGGTAAGTGAATCTGAACAATTTCTTTTTTCTTCAAAGGGTAATTCTCTGTATCCTGAAAGAACATGTACATGTACGCTGTGTCCCTTTTCCTCATAATTAAAAAGAAGGAGAAATGAAGAATCTCTTGATACATGTACTGGGGGGTGTTTCACAAAGATCCTAAGTTGAACTTTTCTTTAAGTTGGACTTAAGAATTATGGAAAGCCGTTAGCATCTTTGATGAGAATATTTTGTAAAAGTTATTTTAAAAGGCATAATGTTGATTCAAATAATTTATATTTTCTATTATCGAGGAGATTTCATGTCCTTGTTGTGGAATTTATAAAAAAGTCTTAAATATTTGATTTTTCACTTTTGAATATATTTCATTTTAAGGCTACATATATGTACAGTATATGGCTCTCCATAATTTTGAAGTCCAGCTTAGAGTTAAGTTCGACTTTACATGTAGGATCTTTGTGAAAATCCCCCCCCCCCCCCCTAAATACATGTAAGTATGGATAAATGTCATGTATTGTATTAAAGGGACACATTGCACAGAATCGCCCTAAAGGAGATTTCCAGCCACATTATAAATTGCAGCGGATAAAAGCAGAACAATCAGAGAAGCAGATTTGTGTTTGGAATACAAAAAACTGTAGACAGTACTGAATAATAGAAAGATTACAGGTACCTTGGATTGCTAAAAAGTAAATCTACTTATGAGTCAAAATCAGGTAAAGTACAGTTAGGTAAGTAGCAATAGGGTTTGCATTCACTACATGTACATGTAGGCTACACAGTGATGATGATCATCATGAGTGGGTTATATTGACATTTTCCCCTCATAAAAGTTTTCTCAACAAACAAGGAACTTGAAATTAACTTAATTTGCCAAAATCAATGAATGATAAAGATCTTTTAAAATGTTCATACTACATGTACATGTACAGTAAGTATAAATGTAGCTTTTGTTCACATCATGCCAGTTAAAAAATTACAAGTAGTTTTAGTAGATCTAGAACAAGAACATTGCATGTTTTAACAAATCATAAAATACTTGCATAATGGTGAGAAGAGAGAGAAGAAAAAATAGCATACAATTATGTTATGGTAGATTTGGAAAAAAGGGAATATGAATGCATACAGCCTTTGAATCTAGTATATCAAAATTACAAAGCAATAATTGAACTCTCATCTTTGAATGATTCAAGGTTGGAATATATGTGAATCAATATTAATGTAAATCAAGATAGGAATATAATGCAAATCAAGATTGATTAAAGCAAGATTGGAAATTTTGGAATATCATGTGAATCAAGATTGAAATATAATGCAAATCAAGGTTGGAATATACCGGTAATGTATTAATCAAGGTTGGAATATAATGCAAATCAAGGTTGGAATATAATTTAAATCAAGGTCTTAGACCAAGGTATACATGTACATGTATGTACAAACTTTTTATTAGCCTGATGCTTCATTAAGGACTACCGGTAGGTAAAAAAAACATCACACTTCTGTCATGCGCTTTGTATGGCCAATGTAATCATTGGCAAATCTTTGATTTTGTGTCATGAGGGTCGTACGATTATATGGATTGAACTTTGATTTGTACCTAATCTCTACTACAGTAGCCACAAACTTTTTAATCTCTGTGTTACATATAGATAACACTTAAGTTTGTTAATACCAGTGAGAATCGATAACCTGCAGCTCATTACGGTGGTACTTTAAAAGTTTAAATCTATTATTAGCTGGAATGTGCTGGTAGAGGCACACACTAGCTCACAGTGGAATTACAGATCGTCCCTGTAAGAAACTTTTTTGTACAAAGCAAATGAAAAGATCAAGAATTGATATACTTAAAATTGTATGGATGTATGATATATTATTTCTTTTTTTAGTGAATTAATTTCTGCCAACTTTACCTGTTCATGTGTGGCATATGTCCAAAATGAAATTGGCTCATATCTAGAATTGAAACCTGACGTTTGGTTCTGGCTTTTGTTCAAAATCAGAGTTGATAAAGGAGTTACATTGTAGCTTGAGCTTTTATATGGTTTCCTTATTAAAATTGTTAAATGTGATTTGAGACAGAGGCTCACGAGTTTACTGAATTTCTAAATTACAGACCATTGAGATGAAGCAGACTACATGTAGCTTGTATTTACATGTACATATGATCATTCTTTTTTTTCTCCATTTTTTAATGAAACCGTGTGTAGTATGCATATGTACAGTGTATATGTAATATGAAATCACAAATTGATGCATTGGAACTAATGAAAAGCAAAATACACTCCATTCCTACTTTTGCATTGAGACTTGAGAGGTTCCTATTATTATACCAGGGGGTGTTTCACAAAGACTAAGATGGATTTTAAGTTGGACCTAACTTTAAGTACAGAGCATACTGCAGTATGCTGTAATAGCCTAAAGTCTCCGATCACCAAGGAGTTACCAGCTAGTCTCACTTTGCAGACACTGTTCCTCACAATGACAATGTCTGCCAAGGGTTTGATCATTGATCAAATTGTGTCTGCATATTAGAATTCAATAGTCTATGGCCGGATTACAACATTGGGTATTGTTGGAATCTGTTACCATGGATACATGCGTGGGTATGTGGATTTCATTTAGGATGTAGCCTTGTTACAACCTCCATGGTATGATTCATTCATTGTGTGAGTCTGGTCACATGTTTCTGTGTCAGATCAATTCCAAACTGAAACCAATACCAACTTTAGGCCCATTTATTTTGACAAGTGTGAGTACATGTACTTGACATTTATACATTCATGATCAGAATGTTAATTGAATGTTAATTGATGATCAGAATGTTGATTTAATTACCACAATAATATTGTGTTATGAAATGAATATACTTTATTATCACTGAAGGCATGAAGTCGGTGGCCACATGCATGAATATCTCAATGCTATTATTGAAAGGCAGGAAATTTTACCGACACCGCTACCACTATAATTGCACCATCTTTCAGTAAAGGCATACATGTATGGTGCATATGATTTCTGACTCTTCCTAGAGTTCTATCTAGAGGAAGACAATAAAGGTGACCATTACAGACAGGTGGTCTTTATAGAGAGATGGCTGCTAAGACATGTTCGAGTTGGCTCAGTCGGTAAAGCGTCTGCCTGTCGAACCAAAGATCCCGGGTTCGACTCCCACCGAGGCGGATGACTGAAGTCTGCGTTGTGTGCTAACGTGCCCCTTCCCTTGTTCATAGACGCAGGTTATGTCAAGTGGAAAACACTCCGTCCTTCGGATAGGACGTTAAATGGAGGCCCCGTGTACAGGAGAGTCACCACCCTTGCACGTTAAGAACCCATTGCACTTTTCGTACAAGAGTAGGGGGAAACCTCGGTGTAATGGTCCACCTGCACACCCCTATCAGGCCGAGTATACGGCATCTGCAAGAATCTTCAGTATTGAAGGAGGCAGATTATCTTGAAGAAGAAGAAGAAGAAGAAGAAGAAGAAGAGAAGAGATACACATTCAATACTCAATAAAAAAAAATCATCGGTTTGATGATCGAGAACCCTGCACAAACTTCTCCAGGAAATGCACAGATTCCTCACACTTGTAATCATTTGAGTGCACATGACAATTATCAAAATACCTGTAAGCTGAGCCTGAGGAAATAACAGGAAAGCGGGAGAATACATGAAGGCATTGTTTCGAATAAAAATCTAGCGCTACATGTATGTAATATATTGTTAATTCATTTACTATGGTTGAGTAATTACAGAAACTGTGAACTGCCACAGTCAAATTTATCACGTACATGTACACATACTTCATATACATTCAGACCTGTCTAATTACATGTAGTGGCTACCTCTCTATACAGTGTAGTCGGCCATATCTTTGCCTCCCTCGAGAAAAAAAGTGTAATGTAGAACCTGTCTAGAAAGGCCACCTGTCTACAGTGGCCACTTTTGTCTGTTTCCCCATGGGTGGCCTTAACAGACAGGTTTGGCGATATACAGTACATGTATACTGGTATTCCAGACAATGTGGTAGTCTAGAGGGTTTGGGTGCATCATATGGTGGAAAGATAATCCTAAAAGTATTGTACTTGTAGACGGCAAAGTATTTGAGAAAGAATTATGTACTGGACTTTAAAAAGTGTTGAACAAATTTCAATTTTGAAATAATTCATCGAGGGAGAGGGAGGGGAGCATATATATTGCAGGTGACATACACCTGGCGACATTCAATATTTGCTCTGTATTTATAAATACTAAAATACGAAGGGTGAGACCATGTACCATGTACAGTACATGTATCTGCACATGTCATGAAAGTTCATTGTCACTTTACTTTAGTTTGTACACCTACAGTTCTAAGCAAGCGAGTAATTTCCTTTTGTAGATTGTACATTGAACTGTTTGCACAAGGTCTGCAGATGTATTTGTCCACAAAGTTTTCACAGTGACCTGTCTATAATAATGAGTATTGAAAATATTGTGTATGGATGAATGCAAATTTAAGCCCTTAATTCATTCTTAATCTTTATCCATAGAAGATCAATTTATAGCAATGACCCTTGATTGATAGGTCAGCTTTCTTGTGAAATACATACATGTATGATTATATCACAGTAAAAATGCATTAAAATGCTAGAATATGTCATCCTTGCATGTATGTAAATATCCCCTGGTCTACACATGTTCTGTTCTTAAACTACATGTAGGGCCATTATCAACAGGTATTTTTTAAAAAGTTTTTTAAAATAAATGTTTTTACCGGTATGTAGATATCATCAGAAGAATGGAGCTACAATTAAACTGAGTTTTATTTGTCAACATAATCTTTACAGTACACAGGGTAGGCCTTGTAGGAGATTAAAAACAAAACAAAACAAAACCAGGGATATCGGAGAGTTCAAAATACACCGTAAATATGGCATGATTGTACTGTATGATCATGCATCAATCAACCCATCATTGATATAGCTACAAATTGCAAAGTCATTGTTGGTTTTCTATTTGAT